CCTCTAGGAGGGCCCCTAGAACCAGCTGCAAAGGGGGAGGGTCTGTGCTGCCTTTGGTGGGTTAGGACTTCTGCAGCTGGGAGGCTGTTGACAGCTCCTCCTCTGCCTGCCCGTCATGGTCTGTGGCCCTACCTGTGGTTCCAAGTGGGGGCAGGTATGCCAGTGAGGTGCTTTGCTTCAGGCTAGTGTACGTCTGTCTCCTAACGGCCAATGCCCAGTATAATTCACATCATTTGCCATCTCTAGAGAGCTACCCAGCCTTTGGAAGTCACAGGTTGGGCTCCCCATGAGGGCAGAGCTACATTCAGTCACCAGGGTGGAGCGGCCGTGGTCTGTACAGGTGACATTTTCTTTGTAGCCACACAGCACCCAGAATTTAGTGGCAGGATGCCCCAAACTGCCTTTTTGGTGCCCTGGGGCTGCTGGCAGAGCAGGAGGGTGCCCTTGCTCGATCCACCCACAAAAGGAGAGAACCAAGAACATTTTTTAACTCCAGAAAGTGTGGAGGCCTTGTGGGAGTCCTTGCTGCTTTGGTGGGCCTCAGGAGGGCCAGGAGCCGAAGCTCCCCTTTCCCCCCAGGCCTGCCTGTGTATGCCTGGATTATCAGAAGCCTCCATGGCTTTTCTTCTCAGAGCCATAAAGGGATCTGTGATGCTGCCATTAAGAACTGGTGGGGCAGAAGGGACCATTCACTGAGCACAGAACCTCAGGCCCTGGTACCATGTGGCCCTGCATGGTGATGGAGGACTCTCTGGGCTGTGCTCCCCTGTCTTGTCCAGTGCCTTTCTCATGAAGTCCATGCAAGTCAGGCTGCATGGGGGCAGAGTTTCTGACCCCTCTTTTCCCCTGTGTCCTGGGGTGATGGAGTAGTTGTTAGCAACATAACATAAAAGGGAAGAAGTTGGGTAGGAATAGGGAATGTTTCTGATATTTAGTGATTCTCTTAAAAAAATTTCAGCTATGCTGGATTCTTGGAGTACCAGGTTAAGGGCTGTTTCGGGGTGGGCCTGGGTGCTTGTGAGGGTCGCTCACCCTGGCCCTGTTCCCCTGCAGACTGTTGCTGGCTGTGGCCTTGGCCTGCTGCAGTCCTCCCATGGCCATCCTGGGTCCCACAGCCCAGGGCTCTTTGGGAACTACAGCATGGCCTCATGGGGATGGTGGAGAAGCCAGTCTTGGTGCCGGGAGGCAGGCTGTCATGCCACCCTGCACCCAGGCCTGGACCTGCAAGGCCAGAGCATGCGGCTTGCAGAGGGCTTCTCCAGCACCTCCAGGGCATGGGGCTGGCTCTCACAGGCACGCCTGTTCCTGGCATGGAGTCCACGGGGAGTGTGTGTGTAGTATCGAGGCTTCTGGCAGATCCCAGGGAAGGTGTGACATTGTGACTAACTCTCTTGTGTCTTGTGCTGGCCTGCCTGCCAACTCAGAGCCTCTCCCTTTACCGCCCTTGGCCTTGGGGAGCTGCATAAGTGCCCATGTGCCTCCCCCCTCCCTGCCCCCGCAGTAGGAAGCCCTTGCCCAGGTTGCCCAGGCCCATGGGCTTTGCCTCTAAAATTAAGGAGTGTTAACTCAGCAGTGCCCAGCGGGGCCTGTGTGGGCGCAGGCAGCAGTGAGCAGTGCTTCCGTCAGCGGCCTGCAGTGGCTAACATGTACTCGGGCGACATGGAGTGGGTGGTGTTTACTCTGCTGACGTCAATGGGAACATATTATCCGCTCTCCTGCAACTTGAAATGAGCACCACAGGCTTGGAGAACTCCGACACCAGGCACACTTTTAGAATTCTACCTGCTGAGGCAAAGGCCCTCTCTTTCAGTCTGGCATTCATATCACGCACGTAGAAAACAAGTTGTTTTTATTTTAATTCAAGAGGATTGGAAACATAAAAACAGTACATTTTCCTTGCAGAAAATTACCCTATTTAAATTGCCATTTGGTACAAAGATCATTTATTAAACTGCATTTTAGGCAATTTTCTAACATTGAGTGACAGGTTCCACTTCGATTTCTTTTCACATTGAAGCTATTATGATTTGCATTCAAAATACCAAAGCTATTGAATTCACCATTTTTTTCTTAGTAATTAAAAAAGCACACACACAAAAATAACAACAATTAGGTTAATTTTATCAAAAGTAACACTTTCACAGACCCAACATCCACCAAGGCCACCCTCCTCCCTTCAGAGACAAGCAAATGATCTGGCCCTTTCTACAAAATGCAGAGCCCCGTCTCTTGATTCTTAAGTTGCATGGCCACAGAGGGTGCATTTCTTTCACTATCGGCTTCTTTCTCCTTCAGAGGATTTGGTGCAGGCTGCCACCTTTTCCTGTCAGCAGCAGGAAGCTACGCATGACAGACTGAGCGAGCAAGTGTGGCAGCCAGAGGCAAGCCCTGGCTCCTGGACTTGCAAGAGTAGCGGGGCTCCACTGAAGGGTCCTGTTGTCATTTTTAAAGCTTGTCCCTTCCTATCCCCCTTGGGCTCCAGAACCTCTTCCACCAAAGCATGTTTTGTTTTGTTTTGTTTTGTAGCCCTAAAGGCATCTGTTTGGAAAGAGCTCTGAAACTATCATGGAATGAAGGGTCCTCCTGGGGCGAAGTGGAGTTCTGGACACTCCAGGCAGCCACTTCCTGAGCTTGCACATGCTGGCTGCTGGGCCAGGCTGCCACTGTCGGAGCAGGTCGTGCCCTGTCCTCCCAGCAGTCCGAACAGTCACTGGGGTGTGTGACTTGGAAAACTCTTATGTCTCTGACGGCAGCCTAGACCCCTGCAGCTGCTGGACACAAAGGGACAGAGTGGGTGGCACAGATCCTTGGTGAGAGCGGGGCCACCTGCACAGCGGCAGTAGCACCTGGAGGGCCCTGCTTGGCCCCAGGCAGGTGGCTGCCAAGTGGGGAGCACGGCAGGGCCTGACCAAAACAGGGCCTTTGTTTAGACAGCTGTTTGCTTGACAAGAGCGTCAGCTGCTACCAAGCAGGGCAAAGAGATGGCTCATGGAATGAGGGGCCAGTGAACCTGTCAAGCAGCTCGACAGCCGAGTCCCTGCCCCTCTATGCAGGTGCGTCGTGACCTTGGTGAATCCTGTAAGCTCCCGAGAGCCCTGCCTGCTGGGTCTCTCGCTGCCAGTGCAGGGTGTTTGTGAGGATCAGAAGAGCTCACCCAGCAGAGTGCTCTGTGCGATTGCCGGCAGCTGCACCGTGGCTCCTTCGGGACAGGCCAGCCGGGGATCTGGGCGGGAACCGTTGGAACCGGGGCTGGCTGACGTCTGGGGGCAGCACTGTGGCCTGTTTCTCAATCTCGGTACTAGTATGTGCTGAATCTGCCAAATGTGTTGAAATCTGCCCAGATAAGATGTTGACATGGAATGGTGGTGCGACTAGGATGGCTAGGAGTCTTCTAAAATCAGCTGGGCTACACCTTTGTGTGTGTGCGAGTGTGTTGGGGAGAGGGCAGGATGGTCAAACACAGGGCACTGGGAGATAGACTCCAGGCCAGCTGGGCCTTAAAGGGCCACTCACTGACTGCCTTTGTCCCTCCTGCTGTTTTGGAGAGCTTTGTACTCATTTGTTTCCCCAAGCTACCAACCCTGTTAGAAGGAATGTACAGACGTTTAAACATGTTTTCTGTCCAGTTGAGAATGCAGATGACACTGCTGCCTTCCATGCTTCACTCTGAAGTTCTGGGAAACATTTCCAGAAGCAACAAAATGATCAAAGATCCCTGCCTAGACAATGATTGCCGACTCACTACCTGTTCTCCAGTTTCTACCTTTGATGTCTAGGCACAAAGAGACCGAGCGGCTCGGGTGGCTCCCAAGGAGGCAGTAGCGGCGGCCCGGTGTAGGGGTGCCCGCGCAGCAAAGGTCAGCCCGGCACAGGGACCGTGCCACTCTTGGGGACCAGTGTTGTCATGCGGCCCATGTTCTGTTTCTAGAGGAGGAGGGACGTGAAAGAGTTACTTGCACTATCAATTTGCTTTCTGCAACAGGGAGCTTGGATTGGTAACTTTTTAAAATATCACCCAGGATAGACAAACTCTGATTCCAATAGATTTAAGAACCTGGGGTTTAACTAGAGGTTGGGGGACCCTCATGCAAAGCAGCAGCAGCAGCAGCAGCTCTCGTGCCATGTCTCCCAGCCCTCCTACACCTAGTCAGAGACTGCCACACTGCCCACAGCCTCGGGACCCTGGAACAACTGTGCTAGAGGGCAGGGCCTCCCACCCTTCATTTTGCTGTCAGTCACCCAGTCACTTGCCAGCCCAGAATATGCTCTCCTTCCCAACTTGGCCAAGCTTGTAGCAAGGAGATCGGGTTCTCTCCCAACCAGTGAGCATACTCAGTACAAGGGTAGGAGGAGAGAGGTCAGCCCCCATGACGAGTCTCTTCTGCAGGGGTGGGCCTGTCTCCCCAAGGGTGGTCTTCTCTCTCTCCCCGTGGGGGTGCAAGGTACCTTGTTATTCCTGGGTTCAAGCATGAGAGGCAAGGGCTGCTTTAGTCCTAAGCCTAGTCTCCTGCTGCCTCTTAGCAGACCCTAGCCCGTGGTGTTGACCTCGGGAGCAGCTGGTTTCAGGTGAGGCAAGATCTGATGCAGGGAGGAAAGCCATGCTCACCCGGTGGCACTGGTGGGCCTTCCATTCTGCCTCTAGCCCCCCTGCTGTCACCCAGGCACTGGGGATCCTGGAGGGTGGTGGCTGCAGGGAGCGCTCGGTTCCTTCTCTGCTCCTGTGGTGGTAGGAGGGCGGTGTGCTTGGGCAGGCTAGAGGTGGCGAGGGGAAGGCCTGAGCTGGCAGGGGAATGCTGTGCTAACAGGTACGTTTGCCTTACAGGGACCAGCCTGCCAGCTGCGCGTGGATACTAGAAACACACGTGCCCAACTGGAAATTGCAGAACTAGTGCATTTTTCCCAAAGCAGAGACTAATACCCCTGGATTAAAAAAGAACATAACGAAAAAAATAAAAACAAAAATCCAAAAAAGTACCACACATATTGCACTTTTTGTTGAATGAAATTTTTACCTCGCATATATCTCACCAAAGTCTCTTCAGAGGAGCCTGGTTTACAAGATAACAAAGCGAATGACTATGATACAGTAGTGTACACACCGCTAATGCGAAACAGACTGGAAAACAAGTCCGGATTTCAGGTAAGAAGAGCGGCGTGAGCTGCCTTAGTGTTGCCGGGGACTGACGAGGGGCAGACTGCTCGCAGGCTTCCGCTGGTCACCGGTCAGGGCGTAGTGACAAATGACGACACAGGGCTGAGCAAACACCTGTCTGACAGGAGCAATTTCCTCCCTGCTGCGAACATTTTGGTTAATAGAGGTGGCTAAGGGATTTCCCAAGTTCTGCTTGAAATAAATGAGATAAGCAAACAGGCACTCAGACCCAGGCCCGGGGTGCCCTGCAGGCCCCACTCTGCTGGTGCCCAGTAGGCCTGGCCACTGCAGGAGCGTTCTGATTGCTCTGTGGGTGCTTCAGCCTCCCAATGCGTGCTCATCTTTCGGCCTGACGGCCCTGCCTGAGCTCCTGGGGTAAGGAGCTCACCACCTTGCTGGAACCAGCACTCATGCCCATGTAACAGTGCCACTCCTCAGTTCTGAAATGAGTGGTCCCATTTTCAATCTGGAAGGCATTTGAATTTTGCAAATATTACAGCACTTCTGTAGTATATTTTGGGAAAACATTCTCCTTCAGTCTAAACAAATCAAGCCCTGTTGTATAACGGGCTTATTTTGCAAAGACTTAAAGCAGTTTAGAGATCTTAATGAAATGATCTCTTAAATTAAATGAAGTTCTCTATTTCATGAAACCATCTATCTTAAGCAGGAGGAGGAATAAACAACCCATAGAAGGAACATAATTCAGCCTTCTTTCACTGCCCGTTATTAAACCACAAAGTATCCGCCCCACCACGCTACCTTCTCCTGCCGACCTCCCAAGTCCGGGCCACGCACAGCGCCTCTGTGAAGCATCTTGGCATTGGTGTGTGACCACGAGGCAGTGTCCGGTTGGCAACAAGGACTGCTCACGTCACCAACGCTAGTGGAGGAGGGACCAGGGGCCAGAGGACTCCTCAGACTTGCCGGGCTTCCCTCACCTGTCTGGACACTTACTACAAAGAGGAAAGGCAACTTAAAGGTGTTTTCTAGATGCAGCATCAGTGGAGTATCTCTTCTTTGTGCTTTAAGGAAGATGCTTTGTGCTTAACGCATTCATCTGCTGACAGGACAAGCCATTCTAAAGGACAGAAATCAATAGTTTTCATAAATAATACTGCATTTGTAACACTCGATGTTACTGTAACCAATGACAGGTTACTTATTATTTCTAGGTACACAGGTCATTAGCTTGAGCATCTATTTTTCACTTACTGTGATGGACTGTAAGGGCTGGGTTCTACTACTAATGGCAGGTGTTTGGCAGATGATCTGCTTAAATGGTTAACATATCTGTGGTTCTTTGAATATTGCTGTAATACTTGAACATTTTATTATAAGTCAAGATTTTAAGGAAATTAATGCTGATTCCCACATGGTGGAAAACAAACTCTGAAGTGACTTTGGATTTAGCCTTGATATAAATGAAAAGTCGGGTTTCCACAGGGGGGCAAAAAAAAAAAATCTGATCTCCGGGAGAAAGGCACAGCACTGCCACTTCACATGGGACATCAAAGGTCATTTTCTGTGTCATTAAGGTTCCTACACTCTATATGAAACTGTCCAAATATACAAAGCTTGGCTAACTAGCAACAGAAGGTGTGAAGTCAAAGGAGTTATCACACTGGAGAGAGACCAGGGGTCCTCTGGAGACCAACTGCCCCACACCAGAAACCTCCACAAAGGACTGTACAGCAACAGCCTGCCTGCCACCGCTCAGGGTGGGGCCTCCAGGCTGGCTTGAGTTGTCCCCCACCCTCACTGCTGGGGCTCCTGAGGTCTTTTAGTCCTTGGTGTACTCTGACACTTGGTCACCCACTGGCCTCTTTTGAAGAGGTGTGTCACCTGCTTCTCAAAGGAAACAACTGCTGGTGTGAGGGGTTGGTGTCAGCTGTCAGCAGCCCCCAGAGCACAGCTGATGCTCCACTGCTGTGTGATGGCCTCAGGGACAACTTGCATCAGCAGTTAGGAACTCAAGATGACAAAATGTAGCTTTCCTTTATTTCCTACATATCAGATTCCATTATGTATTCTTGATCTGCCTTGAAGCTATATGTTATTGCATGGCTTCAGTGAAAATATATTGCCTTTTGTTTGCCCTATTTATATAAGCAATGATACATATATTTTTTTTCTTGTTTTGACCAAGGTTTTCCTTAAGAGTGAACTGGTGCTAATTCTGCTTGAAACCTGGGTCTGAATGTTGTCATCTCATAAAAACATGTGTTGGTGCCGCCTCTCTTGGGAGCTTGCTCCACTAACCCAAGGACATGAGCTTCAGAACTACAGCTAGGTTCCAGCACCTGCCACAGAAAGCTCTGCGGCAGGACAGAGCCAAGAGGAAGCAACCCCTCCCCAGCCAGGCCCTCGGCTTCCGGCTGGGCGACTTGAATTTTCCCCCAATAGGGAGAGGGCAAAAAAATAAGCTTTACATTGAAAAGGCTGGAATAGAAATGGAAAGACACAGTCTTCCTTCACTGGACCCACCTCACTTCCTGGGCTGAGATTAATTCACCAGGACATACCCATTGTGTTGTGGATCCACAGCGTCCAGCATTTCACAATCAAAGAGTCCCGGTAACTCAGACAGGGCGAGGGAGTCGTAGCTGGAAGGGTTCTCTGGCAGTCCGGAGCTCCTGGGACGATCTGGCCCCGGGAGGCTGCTCTGCTGAGCCCCGTCCATGGGATACTGACAGGCAGCGGGGTAGTCTGGGACAGGGGCAGTGGCACTGGGCAGCTCGCAAGTCTGATAGGAGAACTGTAAGGGCGCTGGAGCAGCTCCTGGCTGTTGTGGCGGGGGCGGCGGCGGGGGAGGTGGTGGCTGTGGCGTGGAGGGCAAGGGCTGCAGCTGCATCTCCTGGTACTGGCTGAGAAAAGGGCTGTATTGCATTTGCTCAGAAGAAGGCTCCAAGACAGAGCTCAGGGGCTGGGTCAGGCTGAAGGGCGGGGGCTGCTGGGACGGTGGTGGAGTCTCCTGGTGGGGCAGGGGCAGCTGCTGGCTTGGCGGTGGGTAGGAGCTCTCTGCTATCTGCATCTGATTAAAGTACGCCTGCAGCTGAGACTGCTTCTGGAGGAAGAGCCGTTTCTGCTGGAGCCTAAAATGACAATATCGACAGAAGAGTCAAATGAAGCAGCTTTATATACACGGGAACTTGCAAAATTTCATGACAAAAAAATGGAATTAATGGTAAGTTTACTTTGGTGCAAAAATATCTGAAGCTCATGTCTACAAAAAACTTTCCAAAAAAAAGTTCCTGGAAAATCCAAACTATAAAACAGACACATATGATTGTTATACTGTTCTATACCCAAATAAACTTGTTTTTCTTGAACTGTTTCAAAATACCCTTGTAAGCCCACTTCTCTCTTTCCAATGCAAGGAAAACAGTAAAGGGGGGCCCAGCACAGTAGCCTAGTGGCTAAAGTCATTGTCTTGCATGTGCCAGAATCCCATATGGGTGCTGGTTCATATTCTGGTCACTCCACTTCCATTCTAACTCCCTGCTTGTGACCTTGGAAAGCAATAGAGGACGGCCCAAAGCCTTGGGATCCTGCACCTGAGTGGGAGACCTGGCAAAATCTCCTGGCTTCAGATCAGCTCAGCTCCTCCTATTGGGGTCACTTGGGGATTGAACCAGTAGACAGAAGATTGTTCTCTCTGTATTTCCTTCTCTCTGTATACCTGCCCTTCCAATTAAAAAAAAAAATCTTAAAAACAAACATGCAAACAAATAAAAAAGAGTAAGTGGGATTAAGAAATACTCGGGCTGGGTTTCTTAAGCCTAATCTCATTTTTAGTGCTGCCTTCTTGGGTTCTGCCCCCTCAGTGTTAACCTGAGCACAAATGCATTTTCCTCTAAGATCTTTCTGTAAAGTTAGAGGCTGATTTCCCATCCACGGTAGTGGGAGAAGCCCTAGGTCTCTGCAAATTGACAGGATTCCAGAAATCTACCTTGGCTGAGCTGCTTCAAACAAGGTCTGGGGACACAGGTCACACCCAGACAGTAGCCTGATTCACTTAAACTGCCTTAGATCACTTCTCTGGAAAGCCCCAGCCTAGTCACACCCTGAAGCTGAACCGACAGAAGAAAAGGAAGACAAAGCGCACTCCCAGGCCCCTGGACCTGACGAGGCCGGGAACACAGAGCATCCCTATCAGTAACACGGCTGTGGTGCCCGCATCCAAATCTGCTTTCCTGCTGGAGGCAGACATGAGTGGCAAAGGGTCACACAGTGCCAGCAGTCTCCCAGCTTCCACAAAAGGAAGTGACTCTTTGGCAGAGGCCCTCACCTGTGTTCCTGCAGCTGCTGCTCCAGGCTCCGCGGCGGTTCTTTACAATAAAGCGGACAGGTGTTCTGAGCCTTCGACAGGAGGCTGGGCTTCTGGAAGAGCAGAGAAACAACATAAGCATGACAACGTGCTGGCAGGAGGCTGCAGTCATCACAGTGTGATGCCTTGACCAGGAATCCAGTGTGCCCTGCAGAAGCTGGCAGGGTGAGAGGCTGGCATTCCATCTGTGACCTGGGTGCGTGCTGGCCCAGCGGGCTTGGCTGGCTTAGAGCTAACCTACTTGTTTCCCACCTCTGAAAGTCCTCTGGGATCGTGAGTTTCTTGGGTATTTAAAGAATAAATGACAAGAGTGGAGTTAAACTTGATACCACAGGCCCTGGCTGCTTGCTGAACTATGATTCTTTATGGGCCCTAAGGTTTTTGATCCCCCAACCCCTTTTTTTCTCTCCCACGATCAGGATGACCACAGCATTGGAAGTCTTAGCCTGAGCAATTAGGGCAGAGGAATAACAGTCTTCCAAATCAGAAAGAAGTGAAACTGCTTCTGTTTCCAGGTACCATAGTCTTACAGGAAACACACCGAAAACTGTTAGGACTGAAACACAAACCAGAATGCAAGCATTAGTACTTTCTCTATACTATGTTCTAGGATTTTAAGGATGTGCATGCCCCCGTGTACACAGCTCAGATTAAAATTCTGTCTGAAGTTCAGAACAAAAGCGCCAGGTTTTCCATTCCTACCAGTCAGCATTTCCTGCTGCCCATGTAGACCCTGAGACAATGTCTGAACGTCCTTCTAGAAGTGCACGGTCAAATGCACCTGCTCAGTAGGAAGGAAACAGCCTCCCTGCCCCGGCCCCAAGCCCAGCAAGTTTCTGCTGTGCCAACAGGCAGATCCTGAATGAGCACGGAGAGCTGAATGACAAGGAGAAAGGGTCCCACCTGGAGCCTGTGTGGCAGGTACGGGGTCTCCAGGCTCTGCCGCTGGGGAAGTTGGTGCACACTAGGAGGGAGAGGGGGCGCGCTGTCCTGCTGCTGAGGACCCTCCTCCTGAAGAGCAAGAGGACAGCAGTGCTCAGTGCCCCGCACACAAACGTCCCCCCCTCAGCTTCAGCACCACTACCGTGTCCAACAGGCCAAGGCTCCAACACTGCAGCAACAGGTCCCCAATAATGACTGGATAACTAGCACTACTTTTTGTAGTTTCAGGTTGAATAATCCATTTACAGTGCTTAATAATGGGGCATCATATCACAAACAGTGACAAGAAGCTTCTCATTTGAGTTAGTCTTCCTTTGTGTGGGTGTGGGCAATGCGGGCGAGTTTAGGGAGACTAAGCGTCCATGAGGCCCCTGCAGGGTGTCTGGGCCTCCACCTGGCAATGGCAGGTGGCAGCAATGAGGAAAGCTTTCAGCTGTAAGCTTTCCAAAACAACCTGTCCTCCTGAGACCGGAGAGTCCTCTGAAGGAACGTGCCACACCCCTGAGACAGATGCACACTCTCATACTCGCAGAGCACTCACCTGAGGGCAGCTGCTGGCAAGGTCCTGCAACTGCGGGGCGGCCGATGCCAAGCCTGGGTCTGCCTCGGGTCCCATGTGTTCATACAGCAACTGTACTTTGTTCAGCTCTAGAATTCCTTTGGTTCTAGCCAAATTTTGGAGATGTTGTCTAAATGCTACAATTCCTGAGAGAAAGCACAAAGCCCAAAAGATTCAGATAAAATACAAGGCCTTCGGTGGCCACTTTGACCTAGCAACAACTCCCCTCCCCCTTCTCCCTCTTCTGAATCCTAGATATTCAGAGAGCTTGCTAGGCCAGACAGAGCTGTCACCTTGGGTGAGGGAGGTGTCCGACGCCCGGCGGCCTTCCCTGAAGCTCACTGGCGACCTGTTGTGGGCCTCTCGCTTCTGGGTGCTCAGGGCCTGCATGGCTGGATTGGTGGGCCGCAGGCTTATGAAGGGAGCTGGCATGCGTGGTGAGGGCTGATTGGCTAACATGACGTCCTTCAGGGAAGGGTTGTCCTCCAGAAAGTTCAGATCCCTCTGAACTGACCCCATGTCATACTCCGAGTCCACGCTGTCCAGGGAGGGGTTGTCACTCAGGGAGAAGATCTTCCCTTTAAGAGAAAACAAAACAAATATAATCAATAGTGATACTATCATTTTTGAACAGGGCACAAAACATAACCACCTTGAGACAGTTACAATGTCCTTAATTTCACAGCCAAACCTTTTAGTCATCAGCTTAAGCATCTTTAAGTTCAATGGGGAAAGCATTCTAGAAGCTATCCAGAAGAAGTCTGCCACTCCAAAGGAGCCAGAAGCCCTGATGAATTCCATAACACTCAGCCGAGTCCTGGGAGTGTTATGGGAGTTAACACGGACACATTTCATTTTCATCACTGCTAGCTTCTGAGCTGGCTGGATTGGAGAGCCTGCAGAAGTAGCTGCATTAAGGCAGCTACACAAATGAAGTCTAGGAATCGGCTGGTACCACCTCCATGGCTTGGTGCTGGGGCGCATAACCTGGTGCACCTCTCTGGTCCTACCTGTCCCAGGCAGCACCATGAGCTGATTGGTCACTTCGGACAGTGTGTGCCGTCTCTGCCCGCTGCGTGTGGACTGAAACGCTTCAAAGGCGTGACTGGGGTCTTCCTCCGCCTCGCCTTCCGTCTCCAGCCCTTCGTCAATGGAGGTCTCCATCACATTACTGGGCAGTGACTGGCAGCCCTTCCGCACCAGGACAGGAGGCACTGGGTCGAGCAGACAGCCATTCACCTGGATTTCAGAGGGCGTGAGAGGAAACCATCAGCTGTGGCTCTGCAGCCGTGTCTTGTGGCACATGAGAATTATGTAAAAATATCAAAAATGTACGCACTAGCTGCTAATGACAACACACAGATTAGAAGTTCAGGCACTTATGACAAACAATTCACACTGCTGCCCAGGTTCTCTGAGTCGCCACTATTACACCAAACAATTTTTTGTTGTTTTCCAGATGGACAGGGGTATATTAGCTTGGGGCCTATTCACCAGTCATATCTTTTAAGTAAGGAAAGTGAAGAGGGAAGGGGTGAGTTTTTTTTTTTAAACTACACAACTCATAGCTTACTTAGAGTAGTCACCAGTGTTTTTTCAACCACAGAACATAATGGAAGCTTCTGAACATATTTTCATGTTCATATGTACCTGCGCATTTGACTTAATCTTTAATTGGTCTTATGTACCCAAAGAATGGAAAGTACAAATTCTTTTCAGACAGACCACAAGAAGCGGAAAAAAAAATTCAAATGGCAAACAGCCAAGGTCTTCTATTATAGAACAAATGACTCACAGGCCCCAAATTCCAGCAGAGGTTAATAAGCCCCAAAGCACAGCGCTTGCTCCTCAGCTTTACACTCAGTATCTACAGCTCCTGGGCCGCACTCTACCCCCTAGGGCAGCTGCCAAGCAAATCACCTCCCGGCAGGCAGCAAGAGCACCCAGCGGAGCTGTGGCCATGAGTCCTCCTGGCTGGTCCAAGTCCCAGTGAGGAGGCAATTATTTCCCTCATTACCTTAACTACTCCCCTGTGGAAATCAATGCATTTTCTCCTGTGAATAGATGCTCAGAACAGCCAGCTATAAGACACTCAGCTCGCTTCCACCTGGACCACACTGGGGAGAGCTGCTGTTTGCTTTGGGAAGCAGGAGAAGCTCCTGCATGTGAGAGGTGACATGGGCAGTCCCATGCCAAACACGGGGTACTTTCCTCTTATGGCAAGCAACCGGACAGCCCTGCACGGCCCTGTATTTGGAGAGGAAGGGAACTGTGGGTGACTCAGAGCTTTGTTTGCAGTGGGGAGATGATGGTTATTTCATGCAAAATGGTCAGAGCCATCCCACTGATAAGGTGGCTAAGGCAGCAGAGGGCTTTAAAAGGATGAGTGGCGCTCAAGAGTGGCAAATGTTTTCTTCCTAGACTGTGGCCAACCTGTCCCCCAGGCATCAGAAGATGAAACTTTGAGATCTGCTTGGCAATTTTCATTCTCCGCCCTTCCCTGGGTAACATTTCCCTTCTTTTGGGCTACACTTTATAGATACCTTGCAGGAAAGAACCGCTGTGTGAGAACTTACATTCACCCCTGGATTCCTTAGCTGTTGGCTAATGCAGTTTTCCAAGGCTAGCCAGGGATGATTTAGTAATGAATAAAGCAAAAGGGAAAAGAATGTCACAAGTAATTATCTACCGAGTATCTTTATCCTCACAGCCTCTGCCGAATATTAGCTGATATTCCCGCAGGGTAAGCTTTACAACTTGGCTTATGTCCCCTCAACAGAGAAAAACACCTCTTTCTCTGAATTCCTCAGAAACCCTGTGGTCCCCTACATGCAAGCTTACTTAGGCTACCAGTTTATGAATGGTGTCTTCAATACAGATGATGAGAGAAATCTTCCATCACGGGAAAGCCAGAAAACAAGGGTCTGAATTTTCATCCCTGGAGAGCTGGGAAAATCCAATGACCAAGAAGCACCACAGGACCAGGCAGAGTGAAAAGGGGTGAACATTTTCAGACTTAAGATAGCCAAACCCCAGGTCACCTTGGCCTTGCCCATTTACTGAGGGACTTGATGTAACAGCCAAATTTAAGATCTAGGATTTTGTGACTGATACATTGGCTGACCTGCCTAGGTGACCTAAGCTGCTGTAGGATGGTATGCTCTAGGAAGTACTCTAGGCTAACTATAAATTACAGGATTTTAAAAAGCAATGTGGGAGAAAAGCACATCACCTAGTATACTGTTTTCATCTTCAAGCTTGCTTGGTCACATCACGTGTAAACGATCATGGAGAAGTAAGAGTCACCCCTCTCAGGAAAGCCCCGAGTCCACCAGGAGGCCTACAGCTGGCCTGGGGAGTGGCGCGCTGCTCCAAGCTGGAGGCTGTGTCTGTATTCCCCACATCATCTGCTGAAGCCCAAGGTGGCCGTGTTTGGAGTTGGGTCTAAGAGAGTAAGGCTTGTACTTGACAGGAGTATTCTCAGAAGAGAGGGCCATCAGAGGGCTCACTCTGAGCCCTGCCACAGCCATGGGCCCTGTGAGGACGGAACACACAGTGGGGAGGTGGCTCTCTGCCACTCAGAAATAAGACCTTCGCCAGAAACTCATCAGATTTGATTCTGGACTTCCTAGCCCTCACTACTTGGAGGTAGTAGTCTGTGGTATTTTGTAATGGCAGCTGAACAGACTAAAACAGTATACCAAAGCACAAGTGCTCAAAGCAGGGGTGGGGTGGTGGTGGTGGTCAGGGATTTGTCTCAGAATTTGTACACCAAGTTCTTGGCATCTACTGAGCTGCAGCCGGCTCTAACCTCAGCTTCATTACTTACTAGGAGACTTGCTTAACTTCTATACAACTCACTCTCATTTGTAACATGGGAATAGGGTGTTGTTTGGGAGAATTAAGATAATAAATAAAAAATAACATTGTTTCTTAATGTTAAGTAGTCGAGATATTCCAATGACTTATTTGACCTTTATAATGTAATTTTTAAAAGCAGGACATTAAAGCTATCACAATTTCTTTTAAAGTATTTTTTCTCATCCTGTAACAAATGAAACAAATAACCAGGTCAAAAAGTAAAGAACTATGTTATTTCAGCTCTAGAAATGGATGTTAAAAATAATCAGAGGTAGAGTCAGAGATTTAGACATGAGGCTATTGACTTTCAGCATATATAAAGATGCAAAAAAATTGGAGTATGTGATGCTCAACAATAGAAAAGTAGAGAGGCAGGGTTACATTAAGTACAACACTTTAAGTAGTTCTTATAACACCCTTTAATGGAACATCTCCTAACAAAAAAGTGCTCATGTTATATAGTAAAGACACAAAATAACAGCACAGAATACAATTTTGTTTTAAAAACGGATCTATCTACATTTCTAACCCACTTTAAGGAAGCACACCAAAGGGTTGGTACTGTGTGCAGTTGGTAAAATTACCACTTAAAGCGCCAGCGTCCCACACAGATGCCAGTTCGAGTCCTGGCTGCTGCACTTTCAATGCAGTTCCCTGCTGATGGTCTGGGAAAGCAGTAGAAGATGGCCTAAGTCCTTGGGTCTCTACACCTGTGTGGGAGACCTGGAAGAAGCTCCTGGCTCTCGCCCAGTTCTCGCCTTTGTGGTCATTTGGGGAGTGAACCAGTGAACTAAAAAGCTTTCCTTCTCTGTCTCTCCCTGTAAATCTGCCTTTCAAATAAATTTTTAAAAAGTTTAAAAAATAAACACCAAAAACACAAACATAAAATCAACATAACACCCAGAGAAGCAGTAGGAAAGAAAAGGGACAGCATTTTTCCTGACATGAATAAAATGGTTCCCAATTAAGATGGTGGTTATCTACGGCCTGGCTGTGCCAGGTTAGCACAGGCTAGCGTGGGTGGCCAGTTCCAGCATGGCACTGCTCTTCCTATGAATGCAAATAAACCTTCTAGCTAGTGACTATAGCTTTCACAAAATCATTCATTTCCTGTCTGTTTCCTAGTTACGGTAACAATCACAGGCTTTAAAAATAGCTTGCCCTATATAATACAGCAGACAGCGCCCAATTTGTGTTTCAGGCCTGAAACCCTCAGAGACAAGCCTCTAGCAGACTGCATTTTAATTTTTTGAGGGAATTAGATTTTCAAAATAAATGAATTATGTTGCCCTAATTTATATCTAAATTTCTGAGTGCGAATGTACTGGTAACTTATTGAACACACTAGGCAACCACAGGCAGACAAAACAGCCTGCCCACAGGAAGAGGCGCTGTCCACAGGGCATGGACACTAACCATTTGGGGCCAGCAGCTCGGCTCCTGGCTCTGCTCTCGCTGCTCTCATCCCTCAGCTTCAGGACCTGCTGCACCTGCAGAGGCCCCTGCAAGCCGCAGCCACTCCCCAGTGTGTTAGGCTCCAATTCTGGCTGCCCGCTGGACTCATTTTCTTCAGACCCCGAGATTCTGTCGCTGATGTCATGCCCTTCTGCCCAGTGCATGGTTGCTCACCTCCCCATTCTCTTTGTCCAAGTCTCTCCCCTGGCCCAGTGCGTGCCTGCCACGAACAACCAGGTTAACCTCCTGAAGCACAACATGGATTCTGCTTGTTCCCTGGAGCCTGACAACTGCTGTACCTGCTGCTTAAACATGTCCCCACAGTGAGAACAGGAGCCTGGAGAAGCAGCTGGAATTGCTTGGCTTGCCATTCATCGCAGCTTGGTCACATTTACCATTACTGTTTTGTCTTTACAAGATTAATTTGAAAGGCAGAGAGACAAAAAAAGAGAGAAGAGGAGAGGAGAGGGGGAGAGAGGGGAGGGAAGGGAGAAGAGGAGAGAGACAGGATTATCTTTCATCAGCTGACTCACTCAACAAATGGCTGTAACGTTCAAGTCTAGGCCAGGCCAAAGCTAGGATCCAAGAACTCCACCTCGGCCTCCCAGGATGGTGGTAGGGGTCTAAGTATCCAGGCCATTCTACACTGCCCTCTCTGCAGTATTATCAGGGAACAGCATCAGAAGTGGAGTAGCTGAAACACAAACTTATACTTAGATATGAGATGCTGGCATTGCAAGCAGCATCTTAACTCACTGAGCCACAACACTGTCCCTTGTTCATCTCCATTTCCCTTTAGTTGCCCTCTGATTCAAACTGACTGAGATGACTTGGCCTTCCTGACATTTGATTTCCCTCCTGTTTTCCCATTCACTGAAGATAACCCACCCTGGCTCCCACTCACATTCTATCCACCTTTCAATTCCCCGCTCCGACAGTTAACCCCCAGCCCTTCCTGAACAAACATCTAAAAGCACCCCCTGCCTTGCCTCCTGCTAGTCTTTGATTGACACTTCTTTCCAGGGTCAAATCATATTTCACCCTTCATCAATTTACTACAGCTCCCAGTATGCTGTGCATAATGCTTCTTTGTTAAATCACAATCCAGCAGAGTTCAAGTCTGACTCATTGTTGTCTAAAGAGGCAAATATTTACCAGTTATCTACAACCTTACATACATCATTATAATCAATCAGCACAACAGCCATAAAATTGTTATTCCCATTTTGCATAAGAAACAACAGCATCTGTCACCTTGTCCGAGTTTACACCACTAGGAAAGAGCAGAGGCTGAACGTCCGCCAAGACCAACAGCTGTTTACGAGTCTCTGGTCCCCAATGCGCCCATTACTCAGTGCTAAGTAGATGTAACATATATCAGAGGGCAAACAATTATCCACCTACTGAGAAGCTGTCCCCTGCCGCATCTGTAAAGCCACTGCAGCCAGGCAAACTCGGGTCCTCTAAACATGTACAAAGCAGACAAAGGTGGTTCATCGACCAAAAAAGGGTGGCCTGGCACGTTGTAACTGCAATGCCCCAGGCAGTAAAGAGATGATAATAGTAACACAGACCAAGCCCAGCTCAGCACAGTAGTGCATTTTTTGCTTCTAGAACTATAATCACACACATTGCATTCAGAAATGTGAAGGGAGAAGGAACTGGTTCTGGAAGGAGACAGGCTTTTGGGAAGCACAGTGGAGGTCTGACCAGTTACATTACTTAAGTAATAGTCACAGTGCTAGAACTCAATGAGAGCTTGACCCTGGATATTTTTTTTAGGTTCTTCACAAAAACAATCTAAGTGTCAGAGATTGACAAAGTTCAACAAGGCTGTTGGGCCATACTGTAAGTCCCAAGTGTCTCAAACCATGAGTACCTTTGGAGTGTCGACACACTCCTCTTCCATAAACGCGGCTTCCGCCTGGCAGCTGGATGCAGGAAATGAGTATGCCTCCACGTTGGCTGCCTGTGGCAGCAGGGTAGAGCGCATCAGCCTCATGTTTGGTGAATGCACGGTCACCGGGATACCCACAGTTTGTGCCTGTAAATGTGGCAACAGGGGACAGTTGGTGTATGATAATATTTTCTCTGTAAACACACACATTTCTTAGAATATAATAACTTTCCAATATTTAAAATCTAAATAGCTATTTATTTTATTTGAAATTTCAGAAAAGATCTAATGAAATATGGGGATGGCACAGCTCTCAATCTGAAGGAATTAGCACCCTGTGCTAACTAATAGGTGGCACAGGGTTTTCTTTTTGTTCCATGATGAGAAACCTCACTTGCATGAAGGTAAAAGTGCAAGAAGACCAGTCATTATAAGAAACTGGAGAATGCACTTTGCTTCAATTCAACACATATTGTCTCTTTCTATACAAGGGGTCTTCAAAAAGCTCATGGAAAATGCTTATTATGAAAAACTATGCATTTAAAAATATTTTCACAGAAAAATAAGCTTATTTTTTAATCCTACCTCCTACCAAATTTTTAGAGTGCCACGTACATTTTGCAGAAATAAGCTACATAAAACTACACATTTCAAATATATATTTACAGCAAGACACACTTTTCCTTTTACTTCATTTTGGACTAACTTTTTTGTTGTTTTTAAGATTTACTTATTTATTTATTCAAAAGGTAGAGTTACACAGAGAGAGTGATATACAGAGTGTGGGGGTGGCGGAAGATCTTCCTTCGCTGGTTCAGTCCCCAAATCACTGCAAAGGCACGCTGGGCCAGGCTGAAGCTCGGAATCAAGAACTGCATCTGGGTCTCCCACCTGGGTGTGGGACCCAAGTGCTTAGGCCATCTCCTGATGCTTTCCCAGGTGCATCAGCAGGGAGTTGAATCAGAAGTGGAGCAGTTGGGACTTAAATTGGTGCCCATATGGAATACCAGCACTACAGGCAGTAGCCTTACTTGCTATGCCACGTCACCAACCTCACTGCCAAGTATTCAAAGTGCCTCATCTATTATATTACTTGGAAATACATAAAAAAGTCTAAGGAGCCCCGACTGCTTTCCCAGGCCACAAGCAGGGAGAGGGATGGGAAGTAGAGCTGCCGGGATTAGAACTGGCACCCATATGGGATCCCGGCGCATGCAAGGTAAAGGCTTTAGTCATTAGGCTACTACACTGGGCCTGGAAGGTATTTCTTGACAAAGTATGTGAACAGGAAGAAAAGGAAAGAAAAGTGGTAGGGACATTCTCCTTCCCCCGAAAAGACACAGGCTCCTGGTTGCACGGAAGGAGACCGGCACAGTTTCCACAGTCAGTCCGCCACACAAAGTTCCTGATAGTTTTAAATCCATTATTCACAGCTGCTTTGTTAACTACCCTAGGTAAATAAACATCACAAACTTTTCTTCAGAAAAATCATTTGAAAGAGTGTCTTCTTTTCCAACAACTGGCAAGCATCAGGCTTAAAGATGAAGCTGCTGGGGGCAGGCTGCAGCTAGAAGCCTGGAATTTGACCTGAGTCTCCCATCTGGGTCTCCCATGCTGAGCTAGCATCTGCTTCCTTACAGTATATTATTGCTGAAAGCTGAAATCAAAATCGGAACTGGGACTCAAACACAGGAACCTGGACATGGGATGCAGGTGTCCTTTGTGGACGCTTTCATCTCTGTGCCAAATGCCATGCCCCACCTCCTCCTCCTAAAGCTTCAGCAAGATGACAAGAATTCAGAAATTAGATTGCAAGATGAATGCAGTTTTTTAAATTTATTTATTCATTGGAGAGGAGGAGAGACAGAGAGGAAGATCTCCCCTTAAGCTGATTCACTCCCCAAGCGGTCATAATGGCTGGAGCTGAGCTGATCTGAAGCCAGGAGCCTGGAGTTTCTTCTGAGTTTCCCATGTGGGTGCAGGGGCCCAAGGTTTTTTGCCACCCTCCACTGCTTTCCTAGGCCACAAGCAGGGAGGTGGATGGGAAGTGGGGCCGCCGGGATTAGAACAGGCACCCATATGAGATCCTGGAGTGTGCAAGGCGAGGACTTTAGCCACTAGGCTACTGTGCCAGGCCCATGAATGCAGTTTTGTTCCCACATACCGCCTTACCGTTCCCAGTTAGATTTTTAAGCTGATGATTTTTTAAAAAGGAGAACTATGCTAGCATTATGCTTTACATTCGAATATGTTTAGCAGATGTTTGTATCTGGTATATTCCAATATTGATCATTTGGACATACTACATAAAATAAAGAATAGCAACAGTCAAGTGTCAGTATCACATGGAAGGTAAAAACAGACAGGCACTATTATGCGTCATGCTAAACATGACAAAGAAATGGCTTTTCTTATATCATCATTCTGCAGGCTTGTTTCTTGTGCTACTCTTAAGATTAAATGCTCCGGTGCCCGGCGCGGTGGCCTAGCGGCTAAAGTCCTCGCCTTGCACGCCTGGGATCCCATATGGGCGCCAGTTCTATCCCGGCAGCCCTGCTTCCCTTCCAGCTCCCTGCCTGTGGCCCGGGAAAGCAGTTGAGGACAGCCCAAAGCTTTGGGACCCTGCACCCGCTTGGGAGACCTGGAAGAGGCTCCTGGCTTCAGATCGGCATAGCATCGACCGTTGCGCTCTCACTTGGGGAGTGAATCATCAGACGGAAGATCTTCCTCTCTGTCTCTCCTCTCTGTATATCTGCCTTTCCAATAAAAACATAATAAAAATAAATCTTTAAAAAAAAAGATTAAATGCTCCCTTCTCCCCTTTCAGTATTAGTCATTGATCTCTTACAACAGAAAATTTAAATTTTCTAATGAAGTATATTTGGTACAGTCTTACTCTGGTCATAAGTTTTTAAATAAAAAGTGAAAGTTCTGTTTCTATATCCTAAAGTTATTAAACTACTCCTTGTACAGAAGAGTATTCCAAGACATTCCCGGAAGCCAGCGTGTCGGCAGCGAGGTGCTGGAGTGACAGCTGCGCGTGCTGCCCCTGGCAGCCCCTGCCTGCCCCCAGCTGGCGCCCTGCAGTGCCAGACTGACAGCACATCCTCCGCGACAACTTGTACACTGGACCCGGACAACAACTGCCTGTGAACTTGGTCAAGACAGAGGAGTAACACATTTTCTTGCGACAGTCACTTCCTAGGAAGTAGGGTGATGGGCTTTAGGCATCAACTCAAAAGATCTTTCTGGAACAAGGGTAGGGTATAAATACCTAAAAGCCATGATCAGCACTAAAGAGCTGAAGAGAGAATGTTATTTTAATAAATTGTAGATTAATGGCCAAGGGGGCAGATACTACTAGTTTCAAGAGCAATGAACAATGATTATGTCTAACAGACTGTGATTACTTTTCAAAACATATGTTTATTGCTATGAATATCTTATGAATTTGTTTCTCAGCACCAGTGAAGTAAAAATCATGTGCTTTCTCATGGGAAAGTCGCTCCTGAATTGAGCAGGCTCACACTTGTTGCACAGACTGTGTTCTTCAGAATTAGGAAGCTCAGTGAGATTATCACAAGTAATACATATAAAATTGGGATCATAAGGACGGGACACTGATCCTCAGGGCTCGTGTCCTCATACAGAGCGGAGGAGACCCCAGAGATACTGTGCTCCGTGCTCACAGAGGAAAAGCCAGATGAGGATGCAGCAGCAGGGGAACCTCCTAGAGGCCCGGCGATGAGCTCTTCCCAGAAATCAACCTGGACTGCACCCTGGGTCTGGCTCCTGCAATTTCTAGAATGAAGAGAAAACAATTCCTAGTGGTTAGGCCACTAGTCTGTGGCGTTTTGTAACGACAGCCCTAGCAAGCCCAAACAAAACTGTCCTCTAGCTTCACACACAACCTGTAATCAGTAATTAAAGAACAGGGATGACTGTTCTGTTTTTGTCTGCATGCAGATGACGGACACGAAGGAGAACTGTTAAAAACAAGTGGTTAGAATTCATGAGAAAAAGGCATGATCTAAGATGGGAAGCTGCTGTTGTCTAAATAATAATGGGTAATTTATCACTGGATTGCAAACTCCCTAAAGGCAGGCGCTATTACCTGAACACCCCTGAGGCAACAGTGGAAGGGAATGTACCAGGCTTACAAGCCCTCTGTTTGCTGAGCTCATCTGCTGGTAAGGTTTAACTAATTCTGCCTTGGTAGCAATCATATGAAGTAGCTATTACTATTTCCATTTTATACTGAAGGGCACAGGAGCTCAAGAGATGGCCGGGTCCGCGTGCCCCCACAGCTCAGGTGACCTTTGTGTTAAACTATGCTGTTCCCTCCATGTTACTGCTCTATCAAGTAACAAGTGACTTGCCACATAAAAAATTAGAATATAAAGCAAAGTGAGAGAACACTTCTAAAAGCACACTTGTATCCACACAGAGTCAGTTTTGCGGTAAGCTCAACGTTATTATGCGGGATGTGTAATCTCCGAGGGAAGGGAACCTTTCCTTCAGTGCCTGCGCCTATTGCTTCACATCCGTAGGGCACTGGAGACCAGCTTGGAGACCAGCTTGGAGATTTTCATTTGAACCGGAGGCATTTTATGTTTCACTAAGTGGCTTTCTATGACAACGTGGGTTAGTGCTTAACGTGAAAAGAACTCATGAGGGTAATAAAAAATAAAAGTTATCAAACGTAAGAAGCTGTGTCATACATCTAAACCCCAAGCCAAATCAAATATAATTTGAGATATCCCAGGGAACTTGCTTATAGTCTAGATATGAAAGGATATCATGTACAATAACATTTGCACGTGCGCAGGAACAACTGTTTATGTAACCCTTCGCCACTCCCTCACTGGTGTAATGTTTAGGGAGAACAAAGAGGCTCGCAGGGGAAGCCTTCCTGCTTCGTATCCGGCTGTCTGCTCGTGGGGGTAAGAAGGAAGCGCCATCACTGTGTCTCGCTATTGCAACACCACCGCACGGGTCCTCACCTTATCTCTCTCTGTCTTGATAGTGAGATCTTTAACTGTGAACATTTCCGAATGCTGAGACACTCTAATCCAAGTCACCCAGGACTGCGCAGACATACTACTTTACTCACACTTACATCAATACTTACATTATTTAACATATGAAATATGCATGGAAATATATAAAAAAACCAAGATTTTAACTTCCTTGGTTTAACATGTTCTATAAAAGCCACCACAAAAATTTCATTGTAATCCTGTATATTTTGTTAAGCTTCCTAAGAAATACCAAGTCAAAACTCCTTTGCTCTTAATTTCACTTAGACCAAAGTTAGTACCTCACAAAAGTGGAAAGAATCCTAGGAAAGCTATGAAAAAAATCACTTATTAGCTTCAGTCTTTGCTGGGATTCAGATCTTCGATCTAAGTAACTCAATTAATGCTCCATCATTCAATCAGGCCCAAAACCAGAGCAGTCGTCTTTAACTCCCACTTCCTACATGCCAGGCACTGTTTTAAGCATTTCAGAAATATTATCTTCATTGTCACAATCTTTATTCTTATCACCATTTTACACTTGAGAAACAGGTGGGGACGATCTCAAGAAACCTCAATGTCACATCCAGCAAGTCAACAGCAGAGTTTGGAATTTGCTTATGAAGCCTTGCTTTTTTTGGTATTGCTTTTAGAATTATTTTTATTGGAAAGTCAGATATACAGAGAGGAGAAGAGAAGAGAGGAAGACCTTCTTTTCACTCATTCACTCCCCAAGCGGCCGCAACAGTCAGGTCAGAACTGAGCGGATCCGAAGCTAGGAGCCTGGATCCTCTTCCGGGGTCTCCCATGTGGGTGCAGGGCCTCAAAGCTTTGGGCCGTCCTCGATTGCTTTCCCAGGCCACAAGCAGGGAGATGGATGGGAAGCGGGGTCATCAGGATTAGAACCAGTGCCCATAAGGGATCGCAGCGCATGCAAGGAGAGAACTTTAGCCACTAGGCTTCCGTGCCAGGCCCTGAAACCATGCTGAGCTGTCCCTCCAATACCGCTAAGTCCACACAGTTTACTTCTGAAAGGATATTTATACTTGCGTCTTCCTTTTTCTTTTCACTAGGACCTTATTAGTCTAAGCCTTCAACAACTCTCAACTACTGTAAAGGTCTCCTAACAGATTTCTCCAAATTTCTTTCCTTTCTACCTAACCCATCCCTCTCAAGACTACCAGATCAGTTTGTTTTAAATATGGATTTAATTTGATCACTTTCCTGTTTAATAGCTTGCAGTAGTTTCTAATGGTTTCCTGAATTATAAGAAAACTCTTTATGTTAGCATTCAAAGCTTTTCATTTACGGCTTCAACTTTTCACTCTCAACTTTTAATAACCCTGCACTGCTTAATGAAATGCTGAGTCAGGTCTGTGATGTCATCACAGTCAGAACACTACAGTCTATATTTACAGAAACGAAGACATCTGGGGCAAGTATCTGTACCACAATGATGTAAGCTGCCTGTCAGGGTGCGCTAAGCCCCTATCAAAGCACCTGGCTTCAAAAAGCAGTGGGGTTCCTGGTTCTAGCTTTTTCTCATGCAGGCCTGGGGAGACAGGAAGGACAGACATAGCTGGGCTCCTGGATTCAGTTCCCAGCTCCTGGCCTAGCTCTAGTCTAGGCATTGTGGGCATCTGGGGAACGGATCAGTAGATGATAGCTCAATCTCTTCAACTAAAAATAGAAATGTGAGAAAGTCTACAGTGTCACTAGGCAATACAATCCTATGAGGCCACTCTCACCTACGTCTTCTGCTTCAAATGTCCTCATGTGGTGCATACCTGTACTTCCAAGTGGATTAATTCATACTTTGACAAAGTTTATTTTTCTTTCTTTGAGAGAGAGAGAGGGGCAGGCACAGGAATCAACAAAAGAAAGTGATCTCCCATCTGTTAGTTTACCAACACAAAGGGCAGCAAGGTAGGGAGCAGGCTGAGACCCGAGCCCAGGACTGAGTGATGGGGACTCAACGCCTGCTGCTTTTCAATGTCCACTTCAGCAGGAGGCTGGAATCTAAAGCAGAGCTGGGGACAGAACCCAAATCCTGTGACACTGCATGCAGGCAGCCCGGGCAGCATCTTCACTACTGCACGGCATGCCAGCTCCAAATGCGTTAATTTCAGCAAGACCTACACTCCACCTGCTCATGTGGGTGTTTCTCATCTGGACCGCTGCTTCTCCCTCCCCACAGCATCCTCCACGGGACGATCTGCCTTACTGCTAATCGCCCAGGAAGCCTTCTCCTTCACGATGTGCCCCTCTTTCCCTTCTCTTTTAAATGATAATTATTTACAATGTTGTCTCATTTTACTTCTACCGGAAGAAGGGACTTCAAAAATTCATAGAAAATGAAATCAGAAGATATGTTCATTTTGAAGCAGAAAGATTTTTGAAAATCATGCACATGAAGAATCTTCACAAACTTCATAAAAAATGAGTATTATAAAAAAGCATGTATTTCAAAAATTTTAACTCTTAAAAATAGAAAGATGCTCTAACATCTGAGACTAGCAATTGATAGAAGCAGAAGCCTTATAGAAAAATTGTGTGGAAGATGAAATCTGAACCCTTTGCATCACAAGAAGAAAAATGTGTCAAACATGTGAATAGACAAATGCACAGATAAGACGCTGGCTAATGGGGCGTTACCTTGGCAACTGTTTGTTCAGCAATGGTGCTAGGCCGACGCTGGCGGCCATCAAGTCTCTGCTCCACAGGAAAACTGCTCCTGTGCGACTTCAGGCGCTCCACCAACAAGAAATAAATGGCAGCAAAGTGGTTGTAGCTCTTGTTCTGCAAAGACTAAAAGAAGAAACAAATGCTGCAGACAGAAAATCCTAAAAACCAATGCAGTGATATACTTTTCTTTAAAAAAAAAAAAAAAGAAAATTACGTGTTTTTAAAAACACACTGATAAAATGTACCTCCATGAAATATGCTCCAGAATTTAGGCTATAAGGCAAATCATCTCAAGCACATACTGATCTCTATAAAAAGGGAAGTTCCCTTAAATACCCTCACCAGCACATGTATGTGATCAGGCTGCATTAGTTTTTCTGCAATAAGAAAAACATGCCACATGGTCCCCACTGACTGACAGTTCTATCTCATGTCTGCAAGCAAGGCCTTGACAACCTGAGCAGGACTCGCAAACCCCACAGCTCCAACACAACCTGGACTCACTGCAAACTCTGGAAGTGAATGATTAAAGACTTTGGGGAACTCTAGCAATTATTTGGAGTCGGAGAATGACCTCTGGATGCTAGGCTGAGAGACACTGCGTCTGTTCTCAAGTAACTTTCTCTGTGTATTTTTATAGTCTCACCCTTTGGGATCTTCAAAATAAAGTTGCTTCCTAAGCCTTCAGCTCTCTAGCATGCCAGTTTTCCTCAGATGCCAATGGAGTAGAGAAACAACTGCTCCTTTGCTTTCTAATTCATGTGGCAGTGCAGAGGACAGCACCCCGGTACAGACCATGCTCAGTGAAGACCATGCACAGCTGCATTCTGGACCGACTTCTACAGCCAAGCACAGAAGCAGCTCGTCTGGTTCTGCTCTGGTCCCAAGGGCGGAGATGGTTTTTCATAGCAAAGGAGAGCATTTAACAGTCTTTACTATGCTTCCTCCTTAAAAGCACTACTGGTTTCTACTGTTGTGTAGGTTTTAAAAATATGCATATATTCTATAAATATGTTAACCATCAGAGGACAGAAATTACAAGCCAAAAGGAATTTTCAAGGTTCACGACCTTCTCAGTTCTGCCATCCCTTAAGATTTCCAAATCTAGACCTCACCTGTTTTTGCCTTCTTAGTTTCCTGTTAACAATCTAGAATCTTACTGGCCTTCTTAAACCTGATACGTTCCTTACTGGTTTCCCACTTAGTTCCATCCTTGCTGCCTATCTCCACATTTACATTCAATACAAAGTAAATGCCTATATAAAACCTCATGCTTTATCTTAGAAGAAACTCTTTAGCTTACATTTGTTTAAGCTCCTATTTTTGCCTGTTTTTAATCTTATATAAACCCCTCCTCTTGAGACATTTTGGCATATGGGGCAAAGAAAGGAACTTAGACATTTAATAAAAGCAAATACAAATAGAGCCTGCTGGTCCTCAGGGAACATTCATTCAACAGTACACCTACGTCCTGGGGACAAATGTGATAACAGAGTGGAATGACAGGTGTGAGCATGAAATATCAAGTTACTGAGTTTTATGAAAACAGCCTAAAACATCATTAATCAAATCTCTGATACTTTACCTCAATGGTTTTCTGCTGATCTATCCCAAGGCTGTGCATCAATCGTAAAACCTGTTCATTAAACTCCCCGATGGAAGGTTCATTTTCTTGCTCTTGCGGATAAAGGACAGGTCTTTGTACGGGAACTTCTATGAGCATCCATTTATGCTCCTTGATTTGAGCTATGGTTAGTCGCTTGGATGGGTCAAGGACCAACATCCTTCGAATTAGGTGCTCACAATCTATAGGAAACACAATGTAACAAATGTCACATAATCACCTTGACTTTCAGGGTTGTTTGACACAGGGACTTGGCCCAACAGGGTTAATCTTTATATCCTCCACTGCAAATCAGAAGGTCAAACGAATAAATAATACAGAAAGGTGTTAGCTTATATTTATCAAGTTCATGAATACTTTAGAAAAACAAGAAATATAGGTCTGCTTGTGGGCTAAATGAAACTTCCTACTGGATTTCCATCCAACAACATCCAAACACACAGATGTCAAGGAAAAAAAAAAACAAGCCTTATTCATAAAATAAGCAAATAAAAAACGAATCCTCACATGTAAGAGTGTTACACTCAGGCAATGTAAGTGAGACAATGGGCTCTTTCTTTTTTCATTAGTATAGCCGAGAAAAATTCACTAAGAAAACGGCAGTGCTACATCTGTGGGCACCAGGTGATTCTCTGAGATGACGTCATGCTTTTCACCACCCCTTTCCAAGCTAACCTTCTCTGACGATATGCCAGGCACTACGCTAAGTGCATGCTGCAGAATAAGTTAATTAACACAACTGCCCTAGGTAGGGACTTCAGTGATCTGCATTTCAGAGATGAGGGAGTAAGCAGGAAGGGCAGTGCTTATGTAACCCCTCCGTCCAAGTCAAGTGGGGAGGCTACGGCAGTTCATCTTTATTTGCCAATTTGGCCAGGTAACTTGTATTTAAAAAACTTTTTAATGTGTAACATACATTCCTTACAGTTGTGAATCTGTATCTACCAAGTACTTCTCTAAGTTGAAAATAAACCTGGGACATTTATAGACCCAGAGTAAACGGGAGGACTTGCTGCTCTTAATCTGGGAAATGTTCTGTTTTCAGTTACAAAAAGACTGGGTCTTGTCTAGTTCCGGGGACGGGGCTCCTTATTTCTAAGGCTTTTCCAGTGACCCTGTCACTTCATCTGGCACCTAACCTCTCAGAAAAATGCCGCTTTTGCCTAGGCATTGCCTTTGGAGTACAAATTTTGTAAAGTGTAATTACACATGAACAGCTTGTTACCTTCTGACATGAAATATGGAATCCGGAATCTTCCTTCTAAGACCCTCTGCCTCAGAATTGGAAGAGTGGGTCCATCGAAAGGCAGGGCTCCACAGACAAGGACGTAAAGAACTACTCCCATGCTCTGGGGAAGAAAAAGCAGTCACATTTCCACCCAGAACGCCAAACACTGTCTCCTAAGTAACCCAGGGCTCTGGAAATCATGTGGACTGAATAACCCCTATCTGCATCTGTTTTCTCGGAATTAAAACAAAAACAAAACAAAACAAAAACCCCCAAAACACAACAAAATCTTAAACCTTGACTACTGCAATAAGTATCCTATAATACTGAAAGATCTGAATTTGATCATTTTGGTTACTACTTAACTGTAATTCAATGCTGATATTAGGATAGCATCTGTGCCTAGAAATTCTTCTCTAGGGATCCATTTCAAGACGCTCTAATTTTAGTCTAGCCAATGGGGAAAACATGAAATACTGCTTAAGTGTTAAGTATGGAGCTTCTGAGATGGGTCAGATTATTAAGTATTATCATTATAGACGCATTTAACACAGCAAAGCAAAGCAATACCCAAATATCCAGCTGTGGTCCTTCATACTGTTGCCCTTCAAAGACTTCTGGGGCTGCATAAGGGGGGCTGCCACACCATGTTGCCAGCAGTTCACCACTTTTAAAGAAATTTCCAAAACCGAAATCTATTGGGGATGGAAATAAATGTTACTTTCATCTATGCTCTCAAACTATACTGCATTTCTCTATAAGAAATGTTATAATACGCTAAATTAACAACATCACTGCTACTCACTCTGAGATTGACATCTCTCTTGTGGTGGTTCCTAGAACTTAGCATAAAATAACTAGAAAATCAAAAAGATTCAGGAAATACTGCTGCATGAATATGTAAGTGGATCAAGTTTTCTTCTTAAAGATAATGGGAGACTGGAAAATTAATTAAAATAATGTCATTTAAGGTTAAATAAAATCCATTGGTGTGGACAATTCACTTGAATTTGATGGATAAAGTTTCTTTTATAATATATAGCTTGCAAGAAAAAAAAAGCAAATGAATTAATTTCTAAATATTTACATAAACACAACCAGTGACAAATTGTTCTTACAGTCATCAGTCCAGGGAAGCAAGACACTGGATTTTTTAGGTAATTACTTCCTAAGCAATAACTCTTTAAATGCTGATCTCTATGCTATTTTAGATATCCTATTAGAGCTATCTGAACAGCTCATTAACATTTGATGGCAACCTGGCCTGCCACAGGTTGCCTAGCATCACTTATCTACTCATCACAATTCAAAACAATCACTGGTGCTCCCTTACGATCTGAGTTACACTGAACCTATAGTTCTAATACACAGAAGAAACTCTGCAAAGAATGTATGCATCAGATATTTAAATCTGCACAAGAAAATATTCAGTGAGCCCTTACAAAAATACTACCTTTTACCCTTTTGCGAAGTCTTTATACAGCCTCATGGTCTTATGGAAAGGAACAAATTCCTACCATTCTGTAAATTACATCCATATGGTCTTTCATTGCTTGTTACACACTCCTGATGAAAGAACACACCTTCAGCTAGAGGAACCAGTTCTACAGGCAGTGTGTAGTACCGTGTGTACAGTGAGAGATGCCCCAAAGGAGAGCCGACTGACTAGTTCTGTGTTCCAGATCAGTCTTGGTGACCTTAGCTTTCCCATCTGTAGAGCTGAAATAATTTCACCTAGATGGTCCGTTGCTATAGGCTTGGTCTGTTCGCATCCTGAGACTATTCATAACATTCCTATGTTCCTGTGAGCTTGCTGGTTTATGAGCTAGTGGCAAAGAGGAAAAACGTCAACAATCCTTACTTCATGGGAGAGTATGACTTATGAGGTTAAACAGAAGGAGAGCTAATTTTCAGTTTTGTCACTTTCTAGCATCAACGGCTCCAGGGCAGTTTAACTTCCCTGAGTCTTAGTTTCCACAACTATAAATATGTGGATAATCCACCTACCAAGAAAGGATCCTGTGAAGATTAAATGAGATTAAGGATGTAAAATGCCTGCAGCATAGATTGTGAAATGTCAGCTCTCTCCTTGAAGCCACTATTACCAAAATGACTGCCTTTCGGAAAATTAATAAATACACAAACAAATAAAGCTCCTGGAGCCCAGGTGGTCAGCATCCAGTATGGGTGCAGGTTTGCATCCCGACTGCCCCATCTCTCATCCATGTCCCTGCTAATACAGCTGAGAGAATGGCAGAGCCCAGCTCAAGTACTTGGGCTTCTGTACCCATGTGGAAGACCTCACAACATGGCCTGGGAATGACATTCCAGGCTCCTGGTTTTGACAGGGCCCAGCCTAGCCACTGTGGCCATTAGGGGAGTGAACCAGTGGATGGAAGGTTTCTTTCTCTCTGTAACTCTGCCTTTCAAATACATCTCTCTATTTTTAAGATTTATTTATTTTTATTGAAAGATTTACAGAGAGAAAGATCATCTGTCTGCTGGTTCATTCCTCAAGTGGCCGCAATGCCCAGAGCTGAGTTGGTGCAAAGCCAGGAGCCAGCAACTTCTTCCGGGCCTCCCACACGGATGCAGGGTCCCAAGGCTTTGGGCCATTCTCTACTGCTTTCAGCAGGCTACAAGCAGGGAGCTGGATGGCAGGTGGTGCAGTTTGGGACATGAACTGGCACCCATATAGGATCCTGGCGCATGCAACGTGAGGATTTAGCCATTGAGCCATTGCACCAGACCCTCAGGTACATCTTAAAAAAAAAAGATAAAGGGGGAACTGGAAAAAGCATAGAGGGATATTAAGCTTTCTAAAGAAAAAAAGGGTAAGAATTTCAGACCGTTTCCCTCTGATAGAGTAAATGCTGACTGAGGTTATGTGCTTGACATCCGGTGGGCAGGAGACAAGCAGATGCCAACAAAACTTCTCTCCTCAAGGTAGCCTCACTGAATGGTCTCATGTTCTCCCCCTCTACGGCCGAGCACGCCTGTTGCATCATAACTCACCTGCAGACATACAGCTTCTCATTTTCTAGAGAAACCATAATCAAAAAAGTCAAGACTAGATGTTGAAATTAGGATTAAAGAGGACAAGGTTGATTTCACTCACACAGGAAAGTATAACAACCTCTGAGCTGTTCTGAGTTCACGAAATAGGGACAGTGATTGCCACACTTAAAACTATAATCATGAGATGAATTTTAGTACGTTTAAGCTGAGGATTTTTTCAAATACTGCTGTAAAGTTTTTAATGCTTCAAAGAGCCCATGTAGACTTGCATCATTCTGAACATCCCCACTCTCAGGAAGTAACTCCGAGTGTAACAGCGACAGAGGAAAGGTCGGAAAGGTGGACGGGCCTCTACATGGCTGTGGGCTGTCTGACTGCTGTGCTTTATCAGCCGAGCAGCAAGGCTGGGGGCGGGGGCAGCACCATGCCAGCAGGAGCCCAGTTTCAGCTTTGGCTTTGCAGACCCTGTGAAAGGAAGCCTTCTGTTTAGTCATGGGAGTGGCTCATTTCTGTTCTCTGTAACATGGAGGAACTACAAACTCGCGTGTAGAAGCATTACAAGAAACACTGGAAGACAATCAGACTCTCCAAACACTATAGTACTACACACGGCAGTGGTGAGCCACAACATCAAAGCCCTTCACACGAAGCATTAGGGAGCATTTGATGAATGGGTTAAGGAAGACATTGGAGTCTGGTAGACTTAGGATGGGATCCTAGCTTTGCTACTTAGTTGCAGTAAATTCCTTAACTTTCAATGCCTTGGTTTCCTTATCTGCAAAATGGAGACAAAACTTACTGCTGTAAGGATGTAAGCAGATGTACACTCAAGCAGCAAAATCTGAAACACAGTAGGTGCACAGTATATGATAGCTGTTGTTGCTACTGTTTTTAAAGATTTATTCATTTTTTATTGGAAAGAGAGAAGGAGAGGCAGACAGAAATATCTTCCATTTAGTGGTTCACTTTCCAATGGCCACAATGGCTGGAGTGGAGTCGATCTAAAGCTAGGAGTCAGGAGCCTTTTTCAGGGTCTCCCACACAGTTGCAGGGTACTGAGGCTTTGGGGCACCCTCAGCTGCTTCCCCAGGCCACCAGTAGGGAGCTGGATGGGAAATGAAGCAGCAGGGACAAGAACCACTGCCCATATGGGATGTCGGCACTTGCAGGTGGAGGATTAGCCAGTACAGTCATCACTCCACCTCCTGTTGTTGCTATTATTATCATTACTAATTCAATTTGTTTTCCTCTCAAACTTAGTTCCTCCAGAGCAGAGAAGTAAGGTAATGACAGTCTATACTTTCAGCTTTTAGTGCCCTGTCTGCAGATAGAGCTGCTCAAGCAAGTCTTGCTGAATGAATATGCTGTGTTCACTTCTGAAAATGCTTTATTATGCATTAGGAATTGATAAGCTCTTTGAAGAGTATTTCTTCTTAACATCCACTTGAAGAATCTTAGTTTTAGAAGAAAGCAGGGTAGAAAGTCAGTGCCTTGGCAGAAGTGATATAACTTGCAGAACTGGAATAGAAGCCAAGTTTGACCACAGAACCCTTACTGTTAACCACCACCTTTGTGTCCTCCCCCTGGCAGCTATTTTTGAACAAGTTAATAATTGTCAGGTTTAAGAAGTGGCAATGGAAAAGAACTTAAAATAAAAGGCTTTTTATTTCTTCACAGGAATCTGGATAATTTGCTTTAGTCACAGTCTGCAGCTGTTTAAAAGCATATAGTGAAATGAGGGGTAAACCAGAGACGTATAGAAATTCGGGATTTCTTTTACCATATTTTGTTTATTTGAAAGACACCCCGACAGACAAGGGAGTGGAAGACAGAGAAAGAGATTTTCTTTTTGGGGTTTAACTCCACAAATGGCAACAGTGGCAGGAGCTGGTCAAGGACAAAGTCAGGAGCCAGAATTTCACCTCAGTTTCCCACATGGGTGGCAGGGGTCTAAGTATGTGGGCCAGCTTCCACTGCTTTCCCAAGGACATTAGCAGGATTGGAAGTGCAGAAGCTTGAACTCCAGGTGGTGCTCCAATGTTGGATGCTGACACAGCAAGAAGTGGTTAATCTGCTGTGCCATAATACTAACTTGAAAGATGTGCTTTTTGATTTATAAGGTGGAATGGACTACGTAAGGGTGCTTTAAAAAGCTCACAGAAAAGGAAATGAAGATTGGTTTATACTGTTGTTAACACATTTTTGAAAGCCATGCATCCTATAACCATCCCCGGGGTATATGCGAGAGACCGGTTCTAGGAGGTTCTGCAGATACCAAATTCTACATATGTTCAAGTGCCCAATAAAAATGGCGTGTCGTGTTTACTTGAAACTATATTAAAGAACTGTCTACTATAAACCACCTCTACATTATTACTTATAATCTCTAATACAATGTAAAGTTACCTAAAAAGTTATTATACTGCAATATTTAGGAAAAAATGAGAAGAAAGGGTTTACAGGTTTGGTACAGATGTGGTCATTCCACAACAAACTACTTTGTACATTTCTGCAACAAGGTGGTGCATTTTTTTCTAACGTTTTTGAGCCATGGTTGGTGGACTACATGAATATAGAACCCAAAGTTATGTCTGGGTAGACACATTGGTGCCAACCAATGTGTAAAGAGAGTTTCAGTAACATCAAATAATAAAAGAGTTTGATGATCACATGAATT